GCAGACAAGTGAGAATACTGAGCATCACACAGAAGAGCCCTCAGCCCCAGACCCTGACAAAGGAGCAGCTGCTGCCTGCGGCTGCAGGAGCCACTGGCTGAGCCACCCTCCTGGGACAGGGACTGGAGGGAGCCCTGTGTGAAGGACACTGCAGCATGGTTGGAAAATCATTCAGGGCTTTCCCTTGCTCTGTTGCCAAAATCACCACAGCATGACCAAGGCAAGGTAAGCACAGTGAAGCATCCAAACATATCCAGTCTTTGGAAACACTGTTGGTTTAATTATGAAATGCCTTTTGTACCTACTTGGAAAGTTACACAAATGCGTATGTTGTGAAAATCCAGTGATTAAAAATCACTGGTTCATAATGGTAAATACACTGCCAACTGGAAAAGTTAAATATGGTTAAGAGAAATAATGTGGGAGCCATTAGCCAGTGTAATCGCTTTAATAGAGTCTATTATCTTTAATGGAGCTTTAACAAATACACAAACACATGTACACACAGTGAATATACCATATTAGAAATACAGCTGTAGTAGAGCCAAGCCGCAGCTTAACTATTAAGACCATGGTAAAAGGCCTGCCCTTGCAGCTGGATTACGAAGTACTGTAAAACACAGTGAGATGCTTTCTCTCTTTGGGAAACCTTCCTGCTCACTGTGAGGAAGTGTTGCCTGAAGGCTGAGCCAGCACATGTGGGATGCAAGCATCCAGACCGCGGTCTCATGGAGCTGAAGGATAACGTGTTGCAGAGCTGCAGCCGGAGGCTGAGGGAGGCAGAGAGGAAACGCTCACAATTGCCTGTTTCCCCGCACCGCATTAAGCGACTGAGTGATCCCAGGCCACAGCAGAATCACAGGAGTGAGTCACAGAGTTCAAAACAAGAGCATCCACTAATTGTTCCATGGAAGAGGCTCAGGGAAGTCTGAAGGAGGATTTTGTAGGATATTCTTTTACTCATTGTGAGCTTTGTAGTCTTTTGTACCAAAGCCTGCCGTTCTGATACGAGTTTGGTTTACCACTCCCAGCCCAGGGAGGGCTGTGCTCCAGGGCAGGGCATCCCCCACAGGCAGGTTTCCTGCTGTGAGCCTGCAGTAGCTTTGAGGCTGTTCAGAAGGAGCTCTCCGACACCACCTGATGGCAAATGGAAGGAGGGGGAAAATGGCCTTATTCCTAGCGTGGCTGTCCCATCAGCTCTCTGCAGATGTTTTGGTCGGTTTGGTTAAGACCTGTTCACCTACATTTCAGGTGTTCAAGGCAAGCAGATCATACTATCTCTACTCCCAAGCCTCAGGACTGGGGTAATACGTCTCAGTGATCAGCCCCGAGCCTTACTCAATGAGACTGTAGAGCCAGATACAAGATGGGGAAGAGCTCCAGGCTTCTGGCGAAGCTTTAGTTTGTAGGGGCTGGATGTTACATCCTGGGTGATGAAAGGGAATGAATGGGAGTCCGGGAAGCATATGGATCCAGGGTCCTTCTTTGCCACACTCTGTATCCTTATCTTAAGTTCATAGTGGAGTGCACTCCCTTTCCCTCACATAGGAACAACTCATCAGTGCTCCTTTGATGCCAGTACACCCTGGTCCATGGGCAATGATGTATGTGAGAGGGATGAGTGCAGTCTCGGGCCCAGGGGTTGCACAAACAGTTGAGGATGCATTGCAAATTAGGAGGAGGGGCAAAAGGGTATGCATCCATGGGCAGGTTGCTCTGGCGAGGGGGTCAGTGAAGATGGGGATGGCTTCCACAGTGCTTATTGCCACAAACTGCAAGTTCATGGCTGTGGAACTGACTCGTGCCTGTTCTTTCACCCTTCCCTATCCCTTACTGACCACTGCACCCAGCAAGCTGCTGCAGTTGGGTCACACACAACCCACTTGCTTTTATGGTGCTGATTTCTTTGATCTCTTTGGTCTATACCTTGGACAAAGAACCAGTTTGTTACTCCTTGTGGGTAACCCAGCTCCTCCATAAATGCTCTGACACCTGATTTGCCTAATCTGTGCCTTGTCATTTTCCCACAGCTTCACCTCTACATGTGCTCCAGGTTATTTGGAGTCCAACTTCCAGGAACCAGGAATGCATAAAGCAGTCCAGAATCCAACATGCACTAGTGGTATAGAAACCTCTTTCCAAGATTCGTCTTGGTGCACACTGAGATACCATGTACTCATTCCTCTAGGTAACTCAGGTTCTTGGTCTCTAGTTGCTGTCCTGCTGGTAGCCCTGACCTTTTCCTTCCTCCTATTTTCTCTGTCCTCTGATGCATGCGGTCTCCTCCATTCTTATCACCAACCTTCTGCTTCTGGTTACATGAATCTGCCCAAGACAGAAAAGGGATCATGGCCTACCTGCTGGTCTGTTGCTTTCTGGACTAAGGGCTATTCAGTATCTCAGTAGGCTTTCCTGAGAGATAACCAAGGCTTAGTGACTCTTTGGTTTGGACGTTTTTGTCATGCTCTTTTCAAATGTCAGTCCAAACCTGACAAACAAAAACCATCAGAAGCCAAAGCAGACGGATCAAAATGGGATTTGGTAGAGAAAAGACCTGTGCAGGCAGATTCACTTGGCAGAAGTTCAGTCAGCTGGTTCAGAGGAAGGCAGGAAACACCGTATGCAGATACAGGGTCTTCAATGAAATGATAGAGGCACCAAAGACTTAACGGCCAACAGCTAATGTCACCTTTGCTCTTTTCTGAGAGGAAATTAAGGAGTGGCTGCTTCTGGACCTGTCCTCCCCCAGTGTCACTTGTGGGGAAAAGTCCGTGCTGTCGACAGCAGCCAGGCGCGTTTGAATTTTTCTTCTATCTGAATTTCTACGAAAATGAAGACAAACATTTTTCCCCCCATTGCCAAAAATGCGGGAATCTCAGCAGGCTGGGAAAGTGGACAAAAATTAGGAAATCTTGCCCAAAATTGACATTTTCCCATGTTTTACACTTGGATTTAATCCAAAATCTATTTGGAGTAAAAGCACTTCTCAAATTATGACCAGAAAAGTGAGAGGGAGCAAGGAGATCTACCAGGATGCAGAAGGAGCCCAAGTTGGTGCAAAATTATCACATTTGGGGACCATTTAGAATAGTAACACTTACGGTCTTATATTTAAAACAACAGCTTGGTCTCAACTGTCTGAAAACCCTCATTGCACTCCTGCCAAGTCATTAGCTTACAAAGCTCCAGGCCCTGTCTACACACAAGCCTGCCACCAGTTTAACTAAAATCACTATTTAATCTATTTAGAGCAATCAGCACAACCCTTTTTGGGGGTAACCAAATTAACCTAAATCAATACAAGCCTGTTGCAAACAGAGACAAACAACTTAAGGACATCGACATCAAACCCTGCGTTAGCTCAAGCAAGTTTTGTGGCTAGGCGAGAGCTCAGGTCAAGCCTGGGGATGCTGTAAGGGTCCTGTTTGAGCTGTAAAGCCGTGCTTGAAGCATGTTCAGTTGTAGCTTTGTGCTGAGGTGGCCAAGTTGTCTCTCCTGCACGTTGCTACATGCATAATCTGGATCCCCACCACTTCTCAGGGCTGTGTTTAGGAGCTGTGGCCACCTTCACCCTGTCCTCCTCCTGGCCCTGAGCCCTGTGTGAGAAGCCCGACCGGTTTGCTAGGGGAGCTTGAGGTGAAAGTCAGAAGACGTAGCTAGCTCTGGTAGAAAGCATTTGGCTTCAATGACATGATAAACCTTATTTAAACTCTATTCTCCTGAGCTGAAACCCATGACAGTGTTAAGTATGGCCACAGCATCCTCCCTCCCCGTATCTGTTGCTGCCTCTGCACAAATGGGCTTCAGGAGACCTCCTGCACCCCCCTCCCTGGGAGGAAGGAAGGAAACACCAGCAGCAGCAGCTGGCCCAGAGCACAGGCTGTTTTCCTCAGGTCTCACCCACTGCACAAGCTCCTGGTGCTTGCTCTGAGCCCGGCTATGGACAGCTGCAGTTGACGATGTCTACTTCTTCTCTTGGCAGAGACAGTGAAAGGTTCCTCCATATCCACCTTCCTTATGGCAGACATAATCCCACAGATCTCTGTATACCCTCCCTAATGTAATTTTTCCAGGCTGAAGGATTACAGCCCACTGGACTTCCATAGTTTCCTTTCACAGGTAATCTGATCCCTAACTTTGGTAATCCTTTCTGCCCTTCTCTGAACCTTTGTGCAGTTCTGCTATATCCTTTTTGAGAGGAGGGATCAGGGTCACACTCAAAAGCAGGTGACCCAGGGATTCATACAGTGACATTTGTACAGCATATCCTTGTCTTTATTTCTAGTCCTTTCCTAGTAATTCCTCACATTTGACTGGATTTTTTTGCGTGCTGACAAGCATTGATTTGATACCCACAATATTTTGATCTTGAAGGGGGCACACAGAGATTATTTTTCCCTATGTGTATCACTTCACATCTACCTACACTCAAGTCTGCTTCCCCATCCTGTCACTCTGCAGTCTCGTAATGCTCTTCTGCATTTTTTTCAGTCAACTGTTGTCTTTACTACAGTGAATATCTCATCGTGAGAAAACTCTCACCTCACAGCTCACCTCCTTCTCCGTGTGCTCCTTGTATGTGCACAAGTGGAGAGGGAAGCAGGCAGTCTATAAGGCAAAAATACAAGTATGTATTCATACACCAGTTATTCTGTTTTCAGGTGCTGCATCAGCAAACCCCCATGGTAACACTCTACAGCAAAATGTGACTCCAAAAGCAAAGGAAACCGGAACTGGAAAAGAAGCAAGGCCAAAAGTGAATCATGGAGAGGTTGCCAAGATGCGGAGACACCTTTGTAGGTGCTTGTATCTCTGTTTCCCTGCTGCCCAGAGGGAGCAACAATCTCATAGCCACTGGTAACTTCAGGGAAAGCTTTAACCTGAGACAAAGCAGCAGGATGTGGCTGTTCAGGTTCAGCAGGTGAGGGATGCCATTAACTTCCCTGCCAGAGCTAGGGATTTCAAAGAGTTTTTACTGGAGAAAACAGCTAGACTCTCACCTGAGTTTATCCAGAAGACCAGGAGGTCATCAGTTCTCTCCTAGCTTTATCCACAGTGCCAGTTGGATCCCATATATTCAGAAGTCCATACAAAATCTCAGTCTTTGTTAAGCTGGGGTGGAAAAAGACGTAAATCCCTCCAAAATATGTGATCTTCCACAGGCACAGGAACTGCTGTAAAGCAAACTAGCAGCTCCTTCCTCTTGTGGCTGTAATCCAGAAAGCAGTTAACATTAATGGAGCATCTGGCCCCCAGCTAAGCTACAAAAAACCCAAAGATGCTCAGATACAACTGTGACAATATAACATAAAACAGGGCTAATTTTGTATTGCAGAGTGCCTGGGCAGCAGCTGAAGTCTGCAGCCACGTGTTCAAACACACCAGCCTTGCTCACAGGTTTACAGTGTGATAGCCCAACACCCTGGAGTTGAGTGTAGGACAAGCAGGAACTGTGCTGTTCAATGGCTTTCAGCCAGCCTGGGGAAGGTTCTCACTTATGAATAGGCCCTGTAGGAGAAGGACCCTTAAATTACCCTTGAATGGCCTTTAGGAGAATACATCAATATCTGTGGTGACAGTGTCACCATTTCTAAGCCTGATGCAATTTTATAAGTGAGTGTTACCGGTGCACTGGGGCAACCCAAGTAACAACTCTGGTTGTGTCATCCCCTCCAAAAGCCCACTGCAGGGGTGTTTCATCGCCCCTCTGCTGTGGTGCATACCAAGGTCTCTCCCAACCTGGGGCACCACTGAGCAGCACAGGGCAAGGAAGAGCTGATGGACCAGGACAACTCACCTTTAGCGTCAACCAGGCAATGTTCCAGGGCTGAAACATCAGCCCCAGCCCTATTCTGTTCACAGAGTGCAGCATAGCCAGTTCTTTTATGCCACAAAGTGTGGGTTTGAAGCCACTTGTGCTTTCTACCTGAAGGTTTTCTATGGCAGCCACAGTCATGACAGGAGAGTACATAGGCACATTCACACATGCAGAAGCATTTGATTTTATACCAGGAGTTCAACAGCTAAAAAAGGCTAGCATTTTCTTGTATGGGTAGCTTGACTGTAATATAAACTAAGGAATTTAGGACTCCAGTCTACAAATCCTTATTAGCACTCCTTAAAAGTACTAGTTCAAATAAGAGTATTTGTGTAATTCACAAGTCTGCAAGAACATTTCCAGTCGAAGTTTCTTATGGCTTTTCATTTATTTGTATTCAAACACCATACCACATATGATGAGATACAAATATAAACACAAGCCATTCCCTGGTATTCTCACTTATAGTACAAGTGTAATTTATACTGAATATAATTTATTACTAACAGAGGCCTACCCGAGTATAAAATTGAAGCTTAAACCACACCACTAACTGTGTTTATAAGAACTTAAGAGAGAAAACAACGCACCACTTGTAACTCTTGACCCACAAGCTTGAGTATTTCTAGAGCTGGACACTAGGTGGCAGAACAAATATATGTTCTCTAACAACTGACGAATATGCGTCCTTTAAGTAAGAAGGCAGGGCCAGAGACGTTAAAGTACAGTATATATCTAAAATTAATTGAAATCTCATAGGTGCCCTGCTTTCCCAGATCAGTTCCTGTAGAACTCAGGGCCTGTTAAGGCTGGGTTTAAACCTTTTATGTTCTTTACTATGAATATTATGTTTCACACGCACTCTCAGGTCTTTGCCACAAATGCCCACGGTTCCCCTTCTTTTTAAAAGCAGGACCCTGGCGAACATTACCCCAACATTTAATAGATGATAAAAGCTTTACAGCGAGGTAAGAATCTCAACCGATCCCATGTGATTCAAGAACATTGCTGTAACTGCAAGTTTGTAGGACACTGCAGCAGTAGCTCAGATTAAGCAATAATAATTGAAATCAATTGCTTATCGCTGTTTTGCTCCTGTAAAGCAACGTTTCTTCACCAGCGCATCAACTGGGAGCCTCCGCGCGTAAAGGGTGAGCCGAAAAGTGGGAGAAAAAGGTCTGGGGGAAGGCAAAGGAAACGTTTTGCACCACGAGGTGTCAGCACATACCGGACCCGGCTGCCCACTCCTGGGTGCAGGGAGGCTCCAGACGGATCTGCCGTCCGTGTGACCTTTCATCTTATCCACCTTCTGTCACAGCCCTAGCATCTCTTCTCTGTCAGCTCTCCCTTCAGGTGCGCAAAGCAAATCAGCCAGCAGTCCTTGCTGCAGGGAGAGGAACAACCCCCACTCTCTCCTAAAATGAGACTGACAGCACTGAGCAATATTCCTGTGACATCGAAACACCTCTGTCTATTCACATGCATCCTGTGCCCGCCTGGTTAATGTCCCCAAGCGTGCAAAAGCTCATTTTAATAAAGCCCTGGGCTATTTCCACATACCTTTGTTAGCTCTTCTTGTGGGGGCCTCCAGAAGAGAGGACCTTGAGGAAGAATTAAGTGGTCAGAGCATTTTGGATTAAAAGGGGCCTGGCAAGGCAGCATGAAAGTACAGGGCTGTGAGAGAAATTCCCAGAGACAGATGATGCTCCATAAAACCTGCACTGCACCAGCAGCCAAGAAAGTTTATGATGGGCTCAAGAAGCCATCTGACCTGTTGTGTCAGTGGAGAAGCAAAGCACGCACAGCAGCTTCTTTCTTTGGGAGGAACGAACATCCGCATGACATGAAAAAAAGAGGAATGAACCCATGTGTCTGCACATCGCAATAGGGGAGGCTCTGAGTTGAGGCCCCCTGAGTGGCTGGAGGGACACCAGTGCCAGCCTGCCCAGCCTGTGGGAGGACCTGGGAAGTAGACACCACATCACTCATGGCCATGGTTCGGGGAGCCATGACTATCTCCAGAAGTCAGCAGCAAGTCTCTTCTGCTTTGCTCTGCAAATGGGCCTTTCAAAGGGATTAATAGGTCAGGTAAAAGGGGCAGAGTTGGTGGCAAATCACTCCTCAAGGATAACCTTCCGCAGGACTGGAGAAGAAACATCTGTTTGTAGGCAATTTATCTTGGCTCATGATGATTGCAAACCTCAAACTAAGTAAGGTTTGCTCACCTGCAACAGCAACATGAGGTCTGCCCACCCATTCATCCATCCTGACACATGGCACCAAGGCCGGGGACATACGTACCAGGTCTCTCCCCTCACAGCCAGAGCACTGCTTCCGAAGTTGAAGGTGCAAACAGACAAACCTAAGAAACTAACCAATTCCTCTTTCTGCATGGAGACATTTTACCCCAGAATTCCAGCTAAACCAGGAAAGGACTGAGCCCTAGGATGGACATGGGCAATGGCTCAAAAGAATGGTACTGCCTAAGGATAAGAAAGGGAAGAAACAGGGGGTTGAAGCAGCAATGACAGTGAAACGGACATGTAAACAGCACACAAGGAAACAGTGGTCAAAGTAAGCATTCCTGTATGTGAAAAACTATCTAACCATGCCTCCAACATTCAAATGGTGGTAGTTCACACATCGAGGTTTGTGGCTACCAATTCAGGAGCAAAGGGAACATGCATGGGAAGTTGGGTAGCTGGGAACTAAGAGCTTGTTGATCTGCGGCAGACTGGCTGGAACCCTGCAAGCCTCTCTCAGTCCAGGATCCGCAGGTTCTCCACTGCTCAGAAAATCAAGTTCCCCTTATTTATAACCCAAGGATAGATAGATGCCTTGGGAACCATCTGGTTGTTTTAAATTCAGTTTCTTCGGTCAACTCCAATCTCTTTTATAGCTGAGTCACCTGGTTTTGAAGTGCTGTTTCTAGTTCTTTGCAGGGCCGTCTTCCTGTCCCACGTCCTCCCCAGTCCCACCCTACCCCCATGTGCACCCGCTGCCCTGCAGCTCAGCCTGCTCTTCCTCTGTGCTGTCCCACTCCTTGCCACTCTTCCCCCCTTTGTCTCTACCTCACTTCCTTCCATTTTGCCTCTCCGCCGCCTTCGCCCTTCCCAGCTAACCCTTTACTATCACACTCCAGGCTTTCTGGAGTTTTGACTAGTTTCTTTTCCGGAATGGGAAGTGGTAAACCAACCTACGACAACGCACAGTCTTCTGGTAAAAATCTTGCCACTTCATCTCCCCCTTCCTCGCTACCATCTTCCTTTTGTTTGTCTTGGCTACTCTGCCTACTCTTCAATTGCAAATGCTTTGAGGGCAATGCCAGAATCTGGTCCATAGAATTCAATAAGGCACACAATAAGCTAAATATTATAAAAGGTCCTATTTTAATTTTTATTTTGCTTTTGATTTTCAGTAAACTCACCAAAAATCCAAGTAAGCAGGGCTCTAAGTAGACAGACATACATGTCCTGTCAACAGGAAGTTTCTCTTGCATAACTTCTCTGGCAGTTCTGGAAAGCAAATTGTGGTTGGCTTTATTTTCCTCACTGCAAATTAATAGTCAGGAAAAAAGTGAACACGTAAAGAAAAATCATTTCTGAGAAAGGAGATTGTAGAAAAGCAAACGCTCTTTAGCACGCAGAGCTGCCCTTGTGAAACATCTGCTATGACGTAGTCCTGTTCTGGCCATAGACCAAGGGTATCAATAGCTCCACAGAGTAATGGGATAAGAAATGGGAAAATTGCCATTGCTTGTTTAGCAGCTTGTTTTGCTGATAAATGTCTGTCACTTTTCAAATAGCTACAGGGTAATTGTTTTTTGGGGGAAAATATTTCCTTGAGCAGGACGTTTGCAGGCCATTAGCTATTTCCCATCTGTGCTGGTGCTTTAATACACCACATATACACTTTGCTCCCTAGTAGGAATTATTCACAGCTTCTGATTCCAGGCAGACAGCCTGAAGGTTAGAAATCATGTCTGTCGTTAAGAAGTTCTCTCTCGCCTTGAAGAAAATTTATGTTTCAAAATCATTAGAAACAGTATGTATTTATTTGCAAAAACCTCTAACACAAAAGATTGATGGGGAAAAAAAAAAGTATTATTTATAGGTATCTGTAATTTTAAGATAATGAATGACTGTACAAAAGCAGGAGCTCTTTGACTACAGCTGTGGCCGCTGTGGGCTCATTCCACAGAGTGAAGCAGAACACATCTCAGGACGCGCTGCCACGTGCTAGAGTTCATCTCACCCCTTTTCAGACTGTGCCATGAACAGTTTTAAATTCCACCTGATAGCTGCTAGGACAGACAAGAGACTGACAGACCGCTGTTTAATATCACATAATGCCTGTAATAATACGTGCTTTCACTTCACACACGTACACTCAACAAGCAATTACTTGCAGTAAATATAGCTGTGGCAAGAGACACAGAACCATATGCTCTTTCCTGCATCAACTGAAATACTGGATGCTTACATTTGAGAGGGGGGGGAGGAGGAAGGAAAAAAATGATAAAAAATCCTTAGAAAATATCCTTTTCCTTTCTTTCCCCTCTTCCCATAAGAAAAAGAAACAGGTGAAAACCAAGGAGAGATGTAAAAATGTGGATGACATTACAGATTCATTCCACTGATAAACTTGTTTTGTCATCTGAATCCTTTGCATTTTTTTAATGCAAGAGAATCACATGAATTTTCTCTCCTAGCTCGTTTTTAGACTTCACAGAATAAAGTTAAGGGAGAAAGAGAAAAGAGATAAAGGATCAGAAAGTGTCCCTCCAAGTATTTACATAGGAATGGAGTGAAACTTACAAGTCCAGCCTTGCACAGTGGGAAACTTGCACCATTATCTACTGCTGGGACCAACAGGCAAAAGGACCAGTACAGGCAGTGACTAGTTTTTAGAATTTATTGTAGAAAATAATATTTAACAGTAGGAAAAAAGCCACTCCTTGTTCAACCCACCATATATTGCTTTATGTGGAAACAATGGAAAAATGTGATAGAAATGTATTTACCCATTCCTGTCCATGTGTCAGATAGTCCCAGCTATTCAGGACATGCTCATGGGAAAAATATTGGCACTATCACAGTATATGGAAGTGGAAATAAAGAACATGCAGTATTTTCAATTACAGTTGGGAGGCCTATTTCCTGAAGTCTAAAGATCATGTTGTTTTATCTGTTTTCCTTTAGCATAATGTACATTATCAGACTTTCATAACTTCAGACACCGGCAGAAAGCCCTGATTTTTTGCCAATGGTGACATACCTCAAAGATAAATGTGGAAGTCAGAATGTCTGTCTTATTTCTGTTTGCAATTTCCTTTCCATAGGAACATGCACATGATATAGTTCCTGCTAACAGATATTTAAAGCTTGGCTCTTTCCCACTTATACCAGTTCAACCCCACTGGAGGTCCTCAGGGCAGCACAAACAACGGAGAACAGAATTCCAATGCCACAACGCGTTTGTTTTGGCCAAAACCTGCTACTTGGAAAGTGTTATGCTTTTGTCTACAGCCAGAAAGATGTCAGATTCTGCATTAAACCCTATTACAAAAAATGCAAACCAATATATTCCACAATTTTTTTTTTGTGGATTTTCTAGTTCATGTCAAAACCGTGAAGTACCAGAGTTAACTTGAACAAAGCTCAATTTAAACAGAGCCCCAAAATAACGAGTGCACAGCAGTATTTACCTGGTGCGATTAGCTTCACTATCAACTGGCAAAAAGTTGACCTAGTTTCAGCTTCATTTGCAAAAGCATTAATCAGAAAAAACTTAGTTACATGGCACCTTTGAGACTACCTCAGTTTCAAGGCAAGGGATGAACTTACACATAGATAGGTGCATTATTTTAGGTATGAGTATAGAACCCAAATACTCAAAAAACAGGTCAGCAGAAATACATGGATAATGCTAAATAACAGTACCTCACCATTTTTATTCCACTGCTGTGCTTGCCAGAAACTGTTAACAACAAACACAACAGTCTGAGGTGACTCACAAGAAGGACAGTCACTGGTGTAGAGTGCAGTGGAAATTCTGGTAATTCTGAAGAAAGATACAATGGAGCAATACAGGAAATTCCGAACTGAAATGACAAAGTCAAACATTTGTTCTCTTGCACATCAGAAGTATGTTCAGTTACAAATTAACCACTGCAAACAATATTCTCTCAGATAAAACTACAAATGTCTCTACCTAAAAAGCTTTGAGAAGAGTCGAAACCCCACAGACCATAACTAGAAAGCCTTCCCTAAGTCCTCTCTCCTTCTGCGTTGCAACAGTCTCCTTATTTTAAGGAAGACCATCATCATCAATCAATTCTGTTTTGGTGGAGAACACATCAGCCAGCATGTGCTTTGGGATTTCAGATCCCCGTACTTTTAACGTATAGCAGGCATTCTCTACTTTTGCCAGACTCTGTTTCAAGGTATACAGCTTCTTAGATACTTCGTAAGGTCCAGTGTTGCCAATGAAAGTAAAACCATCGTAAATCTGACGTAAGAACTGGCTCAGTTCAAAAGGTGTGTCTATGTCACCATTTCCAACGCTGCTGATGCACAGCCGCATCAGCTCTCCAGTTAGATCAGCCACTCCCAGCAGGTAATCGACAGGTGTTATCTTCAGGCTCCAAGTATGCGGTTGTTTATCATGGGAACTGGAGGTCTGAGGACAGGACAAAGTCCAGTACAGAGAGACATGAAAAAGCAGCCTATAATGGTTCAAATACACACTGACTTATCTGACATAACTGGTAATTGAAAACAGTCTGGAAAATTAAATTGCATGGCACTTCCACACAGTCTGATTTCAAAAGTACGAACCTCCTTCCAGCATACCAGAAGGTATGAAAGCATCATTTCCACTGGAAATGAGATTTCCATTCTAGCAAACATGATAAACATACCCTGCTACTACCATCTTTATTTGAAACAGAATTATCACATCTGTGTAATAACATTTATTTCCAGTTGCTTTTTTTACTTTTTCTTATTTTTTGGCTGATAGGTCTCAGCCTAATAGATTTAAATTTCCCCTAAATGGTCTATCCAAAGCTATCAAAGTATCAGCGTTAGGAAAACCAATCATATAATTTTGCAGTAGTATCTTGAATTTCAAAATGTATCTTCTACCAGAAGCTGATAGGTATAGCTCTTTCAGATGTATTTTAATATCAACTGAACTCATCAAAATAGCTAGAAAAATACTTCATGAAGAAAACTCATCACGAAGTTACAGGTTTGTTCCTTTATCCAAGTTTCCAAAGATTTTTATAGCCAAAATATTGGAATGTGGGAGACAACACAGGTTTATTGCCTGTCCCTTGCTCCCACGCTATCCATCGAAAATCATTAATCTGGTCAGAGGCCTGTACGCAGGGGTTAATAACTCCACAATTTGTTAAAACAAGTGTGCCACAATAGGTTTCCCTCTGGTAAGAACAAATGAACTTACGCTGAAAACATGGCTTCTTTGGAAATATCTTACCAAGAGAATGAAAAAGAATCAGAAGTGCTTTACAGCAGAATCTCTTCAACAGAAGCAGACTCAGAAATTCATCTCAAGCTGTGCATTACTGGACACTGCACATGTACTGCATGGGCATTTCTGTGTATCACTATAAAATTGCCTTTTGTGCTCTGTCCACAATCAAACTGAACCCTGTTCACTGTGATCAGTGGCAATAGTTTGTCCCTATGCAAAAAGTTCCATTTAAGGCAGGGCAGGAGTATTGACAAGCCAAGAAACAGCAGATATGGTATTGGGGGTAAGGTATGATGGTCCTCTGAGGGAAAGCATCAACTGCAGGAGGACTACAAAGGAGCTAAGACACATGTACATTTTAACAGAAGGTGAATACAGTGCTTTCTGTGACTAGTTCAGTACCAGCAGTAAGATTTCATTCACAGAGTTCATCCTGCCTTTGATTCATTTGTTACCCCCAGCTTTTGCTACATCACTATTACACCAGTATAGTGATACTTATCAGCAGGCCTTACACGCAGTCCCAGACATTAAAAATCCCTCCTCTGTATTTGTTTGCTGGTATTTCACTACCCGGGATCCTTCCCTCTACCAGGAGTTCAGCTTGCTCTGAGTAAGAAGGATGTGAAATTTATAAACTTGTATCCCACAGATTTAGTTTACTACTTGTCAGAATAAAAAGTGTGTTTTGAACAAGTCAAAGTCCACATGTATATCTAATATTATTCCTCTAACTGGCCTTATTTAATCAGATGCCAAAAAAGTGACTAAGCTTACTCATTGCATTTCCATTCCACAAAGATGTTTGTCACATGAGAAACATTTTTACCGTGTTTGTTGTTTCTTCTCTGTCTTCTGCTGTAAATATTAGTTGTTTGTTGATCTCTTGAACACTAATCAAAGAGCGTGTTTTGATAAAATACTGAAATGAGACCGCCTCAACGTATTCCTGAAGTCCTGCAAAAATAGCACAATTAAGACAGTTAATTCAAACTTTCCAGCAATGATGCATGCTCACATTATTTATTTTTTTAGAAATCTTTTAAGTGAGACTATTTTAAGGTTACTAGCGAGAAGTGAAAACTAAGATAACCCAGAAATAACACTGAAACATAATCGAACATAGCATGCTTCTGAAGTACAAAAACCAGACCAAGAGCACAGCAGATAAACATTTTCAAGTTTTTACTCCAACTGCATTTTTCATTCAGAACCTGCTGTAATTCAGCATACAGCATCACATTACTCTCAGAAACATACTGAACAGCAGCTCCCCATGATGTCCCTCAGAGGTCTTCAATGGGACCAGTACTGTTCAATACCTTCATCAATGACATAGTGGGATCAAGTGCAGCCTCAGCAAGTCTGCAGATGACACCAAGCTGAGTGGTGCAGTTGACAAGCCTGAGGGGTGGGACGCCATCCAAAAGGACCTGGACAAACTCAAGAAGTGGGACCATGTTTAACAAAGTTCAACAAGGGCAAATGTAGAATCCTGCATGTGGGTCAAGGCACTCCCCAGTTTCAATACAGGCTGGGGGATGAAGGCATTGAGAGCAGCTCAGAGGAGAAGGATTTAGGGGTACTGTTGGATGAAAATCTGGACATGAGCAGCAGTGTGTGCTTGCAGCCAAGAAAGCTGACTGTATCCTGGGCTGCATCAAAAGGAGTGTGACAGCAGGTCAAGGGAGATTGATTCTGCTCTGCTTTTGTGATATCCCACTTGAAGCAGTGTGTTCAGCTCTGGAGTCCTCAGCACAGGAAAGACATGGACCTGTTGGAGCACACCCAGAGGAGAGCCACAGAAACCATCACAGGACTGGAGCACCTCTCCAGTGAAGATAGGTTGACACAGTTGAGCTTGTTCAGCCTGGAGAATAGAAGGCTCTCAGGAGTCCTTATTGCAGCCTTACAGTACCTGAAAGGAGCCTACAAGGAAGATGGGGACAAATATTTTAATAGGGCCTGTTGCAGTAGGATGAGGGGTAATGGTTTGAAATGAAAAGAGGCTACATTTAGACTAGATATAAGGAAGAGATTCTTTTACAGTGAGGGTAGGGAAACACTGGATCAGGTTGCTCAAATTGATGGTGGATGCGCCATCCCTAGAAACATTCAAGGCTGGGCTGGATGTGCTTCTGAGCAACCTGATCCAGTTGAAGGTATCCCTGCTCATTGTGGGGGGGTTGGACTAGATGACCTTGGAAGGTCTGTTCCAACACAAACAGAGCTTTTAAAAGACAGCATTTGTATGATGGAGAGTGCAGATTAGTATTTCACAAGTCCACAAAGGCACAATGCAAAGAACAAGACTGCAGATAAATCATAAGCAGGTCATATCACCTACCAAAACCCAGCCATTTCCAAAAGAAATTTCCTTTGTTTCACCTTAATAGCAACAGTAGATAATTGTTAAAATGGCATTTCCCACTTCTCTATTTTGTGGTAATTAGTGAACAGGCTCCTTAAAACATGCAGGTTGGAACTTACCCTCTAAAAGCAACGGATTTAGGGGAACAAAAGGAATTGGTGTGTTGGCAAGGAAATAAAAGATGGGATAACAAACGTAGCTTGTACCAGATCTGTATGCCATCTGCAGCCACCTGTCACAATTACCTCTCGCTACCTACTTGGCAGATGGTGATTTTCTGTATGCATTACTGCAAAGGTGAGATCTAAGAAAGAGTCTGAATGTTCAGACAGCGATTTCACAGGTTGTCAGTTTTTCCTTATGTGCAGAGAGCAGATCGGGGAAAGCATGTGGGAAAACTTTGTAAGCAGAAAGCTGAAGTTGGCACTGTTGGTGGAAAAAAAAGCAGAATCAAACCTGGAACAAACAGCCAGGGTAGGACTAAGCTAAAAGAAGTTCTGAAGACAAAATCAATGCACGTGGATCCCTGACCTATGGACAGAGAAAGTGCCAAAGGAGAATAATAAAGGAACAGACTGCAACATGACAGACATGCCTCTAACAGAGCCATTCTATGGTGATGGTGTTACTTCAAGAGAAGCAAAGAGGTGATACTGTCAGATCATGCTGCAAGGATTAGACAACAGTTTTGGCAGTGTGAAAAGTGAGAAAATGTGGACACACCCAAAGGTACCAGAAGCAGAATCCTGGTTCCATTAAAATAATCTTACAATCCTCAGCTGGCCTCCACAGGGCCAGGACACCCATCATATGGAGATATGCAAGAAGCAGCAAATTTAGACACCATCTGGATCAAAGAAAAAGTCTAAATCAAAGAGAACATATATTTGAATAACAGACGACGGTTGAAATACCCCCAAAAACTGGAGGTAACCTCAAGGGAAAATTCAATCGTAGGAGGCTTTCCAAATCACAGTAAAGGGAGAAGTGACCTGCATGTTCTCCTTTACATATGTATTTGCAAGGTGAGCAGGGGCAATTCAGAACGGCAGTTCAGCCTGCACCCTTCATGCTTCCATACAGCAGCATTTGGAAAAGCTGAATAAACATCCGGCAACCAAAGCCGCCCTCAGCACTGCTGATCACAAATCAGAACACACACAAGGCGCTGCAAGGCCAATTAAACACAATAATTTAATCAACTGAATTAAGATAAAGTATTCAGGGAACAAGCAATAGAGAACACTAGATAAAAGCTACTCAGGATCCAAGTTAAACAACTCCAGAAGCTGGGGAGAGGTCTATTTCATCACCTTTCCCAACTTAACCCTCTGATGTGACGCAACCAGTAACCCATTATGAAATTCTGGCTTTTTCTGTGGATAAGCTGGAAGCTACCAGACATAGTGGCACTTGACAACATCTATGAGAATCCCGCTGCTATCTGTGAAGAGAACAATCACATGTGAATGATCGATTCGGCATTTTCTCAGGATCTCAGAGATCAAATCAGCTTTCAAGCTTTTTGCTAAACAGTTCTCTTGATCAATCAGAATTTCCAGTTTCAGCTCACTCCACTTCAATGCTTCTCCACACATTTTGTCCTTTTCCAGGGCATATGTTTTGCTCCTTTTTTATATATTATAGAGGCATACTTGTATGCATGTATACATAAGCATATTTTTACTTCCTCCTGCTGTCCTGCTGTAGCTGTCATATTCCACTCATCTCCTCACTCCCATTTAATACCATGTGAATGTTGCACACACAGTCGGTCTGGTGTCTCATTTACTGTCACTGTTTCACAATGTGGGAATTTGTCTCCTACTATTTCCAAGCAAGCCTCACAAAGCCTCATTTAAAGTTGTTCCCATTACAGACTGGTAACAAATCCTGGTAATAACTACTCTGCAAAAAAACATTCATATTTGACTACTCCCCTTCTCCCCCTTTTAAAGCCCCCTCCTAGAAGTAGTTACAACTTCACACTTCAGTGACCCAAGACCTTGAAATAAGGTGTTCTCACGTGTAGGTAGAAGGATGTTTAAACATACTATGTTTTGGCTTAATGGTAGGACATCCGCTATTTTCAGCAAACAATCCCCAAGGTGAAAAACCCCATCCCATTTCACTACACCATCCAACAATACCTTTCCCCTTATGCTGTTGTTTTGGATTTATTCCAAAACTGGCTTATTTATGGATTGCACTGCCAGTAATGGAATAGTTTCTAAGACTGCCTTTTATGTATTTTTTTTCTAGTACACAGGCCAAAAATCCCAATTAAAAGCAGTGCATTATTTCTACCAGCACTTCTTAAAATTACAGATGAAGGTAACAAGTGCTTAGGTATTCTGATATTTTACTACATTTACCAGACATAAATGGCTTGTGCTAGTGAACAAGTTACAGTGTCCAGTGTAACAAAGCCCTTCTATATTTTGAGAACTTACTTTACCTAGAAAGTTGCACTGAGGTATCTTCTGAGCACATGTTGTCTATAAAGGATGTTTTGCGCCTGAAATTTTGTGCATTTTTGACAGCTCTATCAGCTGATATTCAAGACATTTACCCTAATCTCCATATGCAAGTTCTGAGAAAGTACTGTTAAGCCACTTCTCGAAGAACCTTAGCAAAAAATCAGGTTTCTTTGAAGAAACAAGTCATTGGGGTGCTCAATCCAAGAGTCAAATGAATGCATGAGAGTTAGGAAAAGATAGTTCTACTTTAGAAATGAGCAAAGAATAAAAATTCCTTAATTGCAGCAGTCAGGTTAGAGTAAAAAGAACCTAATTCTATCCAAGATGTAAATGCAGACATGCACAAAAGTTTTAACCCAGAATGAGGGACGAAACAAGAGGTGAAAGTTTCCTCCTAAATTGTGGTCAGTGGCTCAATATCCAGCTGGAGACCAGTAACGAGTGGTTTCCCTCAGGGATCAGTGCTGGGACCGGTCTTGTTCAACATCTTTGTCACTGACATGGACAGTGGGATTGAGTGCGCCCTCAGCAAGTTTGCCGATGACACCAAGCTGTGTGGTTTGGTTGATACGCTGGAGGGAAGGAATGCCATCCAGAGGGACCTTGACACACTTGTGAGGTGGGCTGATGCCAACCTCATGAAGTTTAACCATGCCAAGTGCAAGGTCCTACACCTGGGTCGGAGCAATCCCAGACACAGCTACAGGTTGGGCAGAGAAGAGATTCAGAGCAGCCCTGTGGAGAAGGACTTGGGGGTGCTGGTCAATGAGAAAATGAACATGAGCCAGCTTCAGTGTGTGCTCGCAGCCGAGAAAGCCAACCGTAGCCTGGGCTGCATCAAAAGGAGCATGACCAGCAGGTGAAAGGAGGTGATCCTGCCCCTTTACTCTGCTCTCATGAGACCTCCCTTGGAGCATTGTGTGCAGTTCTGGTGTCCTCAGCATAAAAAGGACATGGATCTGTTGGAACAAGTCCAGAGGAGGGCCATGAGGATGATCAGGGGACTGGAGCACCTCCCATATGAAGACAGGCTGAAAAAGTTGGGGCTGTTCAGCCTGGAGAAGAGAAGGCTGCGTGGAGACCTCATAGCAGCCTTCCAGTATCTG